TCTTGGTGCTACTGACATTTTGGCCAAATAATTCTTTGCTGTGGGGCTGTCTTATGCATTGGAAGATGTTTAGCAGCACCTCTGGCCTCTGCCCACTAGAAGCCAATAGCAGGAGAAAGCCAACATACTCAGAATATGCAAATCAATAAAATTATTGGGGAAAATGAAAAATGTGTCTTTTATTTTATGGAAAAAACTGAACAGAATTTTTGGCCAATTCACATTACATACTTCAACCAAGACAACATATTCCAACTCTTAACTGCAGACACAGATATAAGAATCCAACTCTTCAAAGGAAACCAACAACAAAATGAAAATACAATGTACTGAATGGAAGAAAATATTTACAAATGATGTATCTGATAAGGGGTTAATATTCAAAATACAAAAACAACCTCATACAACCCAACAACAACAAAAAACAATTCAGATTAGAAAATAGATAGAGGACCTCAACAGACATGTCCCCTGAGAAGACATGTTGATGGCCAACAGACACATGAAAAGATGCTCAACATCACTAACCACTGGAAAATGCCCTTCACAACCACAATGAGATATCACCTCATACCTGTCAGGATGGCTGTTCTCAAAAAGTCAGCAAAGCCAGTGCTCGTGGGTATGTAGAGAAAAGAGAAACCCTGTGTACCGTCGGTGGGATTGCAAAGTGGTGAAACCACTGTGGAAAACAGTATGGAGGCTCCTCAAAAATCTAAAAACAGAATTACCACATGAATCAGCAACTCTACTTCTGGTTATTTATCCAAAGAGAATAAAAACACTAATTTAAAAAGATATATGCACCCCGAAGTTCATTCTGGCATTATTTTTAATAGTCAGGACATGGAAACAACCTAAGTAGTTACTGACTAACACGTGAGTAAAGAAGATACAGTGGAACACCATTCAGCCATAAGGCAATGGCATCTTGCGATTTGTGACAACATGGATGGACTCTGAGGTATTGTGCTAAATGAAATAAGTCAGGTGGAAAAACAAAAACTGTATGATTTCACTCGTATATGAAATACAAAACAAAAAAGACACAGATACGCACATGTGGGATACAAAACAAACTCACAGACACAGACCACGGTGCGGTGGTGACCAGAAGAAAGGAATGAGGGGGAAGTAAAGGGCAAAGGGGGTTAAATACACGGTGACGGAAGAAGATAGGGCTTCAGGTGGGGAGCACACGATGCAACATACAGCTGATGTATCATAGAGATGTACACTTGAAACCTATACAACTTTATTAACCCATGTTACCCAAATAAATTTAGTAAATGAATAAATAAATAAATAAATAAACAAAGCTCATAGACACAGACAACAGATGGGTAGTTGTCAGAGGAAAGGAGTAGGGGGATGTAAAATGGGTAAAGGGGGTTGAATGTATGGTGATGGGTGGACTCTGGACTGCTGGGGGTGATCACACTATAGTGTACACAGAAAGTGAATTATAAAGCTTTGCACCTAAAACTTATATAATGTTATTAAACAATGTTATCTCAATAAAAAAACAACAAAAAAAGAATCCAGCTGTCTTCTCTTAAAGAGACCTGTAAAATATACAAAATAATGCCTTCTTTCTTACTAAATTTTGTTTTAGAAAATAATTATTTTTCACAAAATACTGTAATTATGTTAATGTGTACTGAGTTTATTATTGGTTATGTTTAAATGAATTAATAAATATTTAAACATTTCAGCTGTAAGTTCTAATGCAGTAAATCTTGACAGCTACACTCATAAAAAAATTCTCTGGTGTCAATACTTTGAGAGCATAAACTGTAGGACCATTGTTCTATACCATTCATTTGGGTCTTAATTTTGTGTTATACAAATTATAGTAGCAAGATACAATACATATAGAGTATCATGTCAGCTCTTTCTATGCACATATACTATCATTTTAATTGGATTATAACAGCAAAAGAAAAAAAAACCCCTACCTTTCGTTTTTAGGAAAGTAAGCCAAGAGAGAAACTTACTGGATGATTTTGAGATAACACATTCAAGTCAAGGTGTTTACTGGAAACATCTTCGAGCTTGATAAAGGTTCAGTATCATTAGTTTCCAAATGCTCCAGATGGCTTGGAGAACTTAGGACCACATGTCATCCCCATGCAGTTGTCAGTCTCTGTATCCCATTTAACGTCTCTAATGACTGCACTGTGTCCCATCCAAGGAAAGTGTTTCCCAGCTGCCTCTGCACATGCAGTTCCCACTTCCTAGAATCTCCTCTTCCTTTCCCTGGCTAACTCCTCTTTATGGAGCGCTCTCCTCACCTCCCTGGGGGCCTTAGGTCTCCTCCTTAGAGACTCTCAGATCACCACATACTCCTCTTAAATGTCAGGTCTCACAATTTTCACTGTCTAGCTATCTGTGTAATTATTTGATTAATGTCTGTCTTTCTCAATAGAACCTATCCCCCAAGGAATATTTAGTTGTATTTCCCAACTGTCCCAGCTCAACAGGGTCATAGAAATATTAAATGGATAATTATTAAATAAATCAACTGAAATTAATTAACCCTTTGTCCTGTGACACTATGGTATAACAGATAAAGCCACAGGGGGAAATTCCATTACACATCACAAAAAAATAAAATAAAATAGTTTGGTTTCTCTTTTTAAAAGAAATTATTTAGAGGCTAGTGGGATAACAAAAGCGACCATGGGGAGACTGTGAGGGCCCGGACAAGGACGGTGGCAACCTGCCAGGGGTAGGGGAGGGCAGCAAGGGGCAGGCTGAGGCTGTAACTCCCACTCAGCATCAGCAGTTCAGAAACAAGGTGTCCGGAAAAATCTCGGGGACTGGCTTGAGCAGCTGAGAGGATGATGATTATATCATTACCTGAACTCAGAAAAGTGAAAGAGAAATACGAGTAGGAGGGGAAGACTAAGGGTTTGTGAGATCTCCAAGTGGAGATACCGAGGGTGTGGGGTGGAAAGGAAAGATCTAAGACTGTAAGAATGAACCTGGGAGTTGTGAACACAGAACTCATAACTGAAACTACAGAAGTGAGTGTGAGAAGAGCAAGTCAGAAGAGACAGCTGGGATGGGCTCTGAGCGCATCTGACGGACAGGAAGGGCTTGGGTGGGAGAGGAGGGCAAGCAAGATGATACAGAAGTGGCTGGAAAGACAGAGAAGTGGACAACCACAGGATTATTTTTTATTCTTTTCTTCCTCACTTCTCATCTCTCTTCCTTTCTACACTCCCTGCTTCTGCCCCACCCTACACGGGGGTGGGGGTGGGGGGGGACTGTATGAGCAGTCTAACTGGACTGCTTGCTTGGTTTTCCCTTCCATTGAATCCTGTATACTCCTGCCAGACTGATCTCTCTATATCTGCACTCTCCACATGTCTGTTTAACGTACCTGAATTAAGCAAAATTAAAAATTCAGTTCCTCTGTCTTATTAGCTGTACTTCAAGGGTCTCTGCAGTCACATGTGGCTAAGTGACAATCGTGGTGGACAGCCCGGAGTCAGAACATTTCCAGCATCGGAGAAAGTTCTGTTGGACAGTGCTGCCATAGCACGGCTTTATCGTTTCCGCTCAAAAGTCCAAACCCAGAGTTCAAGGCTTCTACATCGGGCCCTAGCTGTCTTTCCAACTGTGTCTCTTCCCACTCCCCTACATCAAGTCTGCAAATTGGGCACACTAATGGAATGCTATCGGGAGACCAGGTACGTGTCACCTTGGCTTGGCACTCCCATTTATGCAACAAAACACTAATTTAGGTGTTGCTGTGAACATTTTTTTGTAGATGAGGTTAATATCTACCATCAGGAGATTGTTCTCAATGATATGGGTGGGACTCAGCCAGTCAGTTGAATGACCTTAAGAGAAAAACTGAAGCTTCTCTGAGAAAAATTCCACCTATAGACTTCAGTGCCAGCCCCTGCCTGAGAGTTTCTAGTCTTCCCTTCCTCCTGGAGCACCCTATGGATTAGACCCCACAGCCACAGGAGCCAGTTCTTTGAGATAAATTCTTTAACAAAACTCTTTCTCTCTGTGCCATGTGTGGATAATAGGTATAAATATACACATACCCACACACATGAGTATACACATACATATCTACATACATGTACACACAAGTGTGTATATGAATATATATCGCACTGCTTCTGTTTTCTGGTAAAACCTTGATTGGTACAGATTTTGGTACAGACTTATGCACTTACCGAAATGTACCCTTCAAAGCTGAAATATATACCTGTCTTTCAAAAATACACACCTGTGTTTTTGAAAATAGTGTTTCTTAAACCTGGCTGCACTATCCAGTCACCTTTGTAAACTTTCTACAAACATATACGGGTTCTAACAAAGAACAAGACTGGCTCATGAAGGTGGAGGGTGGGCCTTTGCTTTTTCAGAGAGCTGGCCAGGTAATTCTGACGCACAGCGGGGGCTGAGAACTGCAGCCCTAACTGGACTCCTCTGGCCCTTGTAAGCACCGCTGGCACTAACCCAACGCTGCGCGCTGCCTGGCAGCGTTCATGTAACCAGCCACCAACCCGCATCAGTTGCTTGACTACTGTCTGTCAGATAATAAGACAATGTGGTTGAATAAATGAAAAATTTACTGCAAATTTTAATGAAGCTGATAATGAATGGTTCATGCAAAATAATGCATAACTTAAATAGCTCTCATTTCTACTTCAATTGAAAATTATATTAGCAAGTGTTAGTAAGTGCTTGACATATTTATTTATTGATAGACTTTACTGTTGGTATTGTCTAATATCACTGGATATGATTAATTCTCAACCCACTGATGATTTGGTAGGCACCCACGGGCACGTAACCACTTTTTCAGGAGCGTAAGTCCCAAATGCTCCTGTGTGCACATAAGAACCAATCCCTGAAGCCAACACAATTCGATTTCATGTGAAAGGAAGTGAGCAGGGGGCTGGGCCGGGCAAGGCAGGGCTGTGGCAGTTTCAAGGCTGGCTCGCCCTGTCCTGCACGGTGCACTGCCAACTATAAATGTTAGATAAGACTTCTCACTGTATTATTATTTTATGAACATGCTTTTAAGATAGATAAAATGCTTTTCAATGATGGTGCAGTCATGGAGTAACACCCCGGTGAGTAAATCTATGGCTGATTTTTCTGCTTTTTATACAGGAGGAGACTGAGGTTCAGAAAGGAAAAGCAACTTGCCCACAGGGGACAGAGAGCGGAGTTGTGCAGGGACAGCGGGCTTGCAATTCCCTGCAACTCCAGCTCCCACTCAGGGATTACTCCCCCGGGGCAGACGCCTGGGGGAGTAACTATTTTAGAAAAACTTCCCTTACTGAAAAGAAAACATATTTTTTGAAAAGTAAAAACACTTCGGAAAGTCTCAGAAGTATCTCATCTCATTCACCTCTCTCTTCAGCCTTCTTACTTCCTATTTCACAAGACAGTGTATTTACTTTTCTGTTTTTGTTTTTAGTGGAAATGGAAGTGATTTATTTTCTTATTTATGGTTTTAAAACTTTCTAACATTTCTGAAACATATATGAATTGCCTTTATAATAAAATACAAATACTTTAAAATGTGACTTTGACTACCAAAAATAAACACACATTCTCTAGATGGCTTCTTTGCTGTGTTGATCAACCTCCTGGCAGATTCTGCCCAGCCGCTGGTGTGCCCACTGCTCGTTTGAAAATGCTGTGGAAGTAGAACAACTGTCACCCGATGTTTGTGACCGGTGTGTATTGGGCAAGTTATTTAAATTCCCTGGGCCTTTATTGTTGATAGGTCTTAGCCCGAAAAGAAAAAAAGAGTGGTAAAAGAAATGGACTGAAGATCATTGGAACTGGGAATCACCAGTTTATTATAAAAGGATATGACTCAGGAAAAGCCAAATGGAAGCGAGGCACAGGGCAAGGCATGAAGAAAAGGCACATGGTTTCTCCATGCTCACCCTGGAGCTCCACTTCGGCCTACTTCCTGTTCAAACACACTGAGGATCACTAAAGTACATGAATGGTGGCGATACCGTTAACTTCACTGAATGGCCTGTCCAAATTTTCACGATGTGCTTTCATTTAAAGGAATTTGGACTTAGCAGCCAAATTTTTACTCCAGCTACAAGTATGTTCCTGACTGTATATAGTCTAAAGCATATTAACATCGTATAAAGGTCCATATGATTGGACAGCCTGTTACAATTAATGAAAATGCCCTTTGGTAGTTATTACAATCTGTCAGGTCACATTTATCTACATTTCAAAAAGTGACTTGGGAGAAGAAACTTTAAAGGCACTTTTTCCTTTTTGAAGAAGCTATTAGGGTTTTCTGGGTAAAAGCATATTTATACTTATTTATTTTTTTTGGCCAGAAACTCACTTAAGGAATACATTTGAGACTTAGAGTAAAAATGTACTTTTTATTATTATTTGTTGAAATAAGAAAAACTACAGTTAACTATTTGAAGTTCAGAAATAAAAGGATTTTAAATTATCTTTCCAAAATCCTTAATACTTCCAAATTAAGAGTTCAGAATACGGGATGGATAGCTGTAGCTGAAATCCCACTGGTTTCCCTCTCCGATTTTCCAGGAATCCATCCTGTGAATTCATGTTGTATATACATCTCCTCCAAGTTCTGTATTCTCTTTAAATTTTAATTTAATGTGGGTTTTTTTTAAGGTCATGGCACGGTCAGGTTATTTACCAGCAGACTCTCAAATTTAACTCAATTCTTTTGCCTCTGTGGGCTTTTTTGGCCATTATTGTGATATGCTTCTAGATGACTTATAATCAAATGAGCTCTATGGTAAATGTGGTATCACATCTTTGTTCAGAATGCCCCCAGAATGCCCAGGGCTCCCTGCTTTCCTCACGCATGTTTCTGTCAAATTAATTTTGACATTCACCAGATAATAGAGAGCTTGCTGAATTCCAAATGGGCTGCTTTGTGGGGCAGGAATTCACAAAGCACTTTACAGTCAAGGGTTTCTTAAAACTGGGGAATAAAACCAGGTCGAATGAATCCTGCTGCATGGGGGAAAGGGTTTTAATCAATTACATAATTTGGCGGCAGCTGCTAATAGGTTGATGAAGGTAAAAATAAAAAAGAAAGCAACTCAAACATTAGTGAGCCACACATATCTTACTGGAGTAGTACAGTCCCAGAAACATCCTCTCTCTCCCTCATTCCCCACCTTCCATCGACTACCAAGTCCGGCTGCACGGACAACAGGCACACCCTTCTGCTCCATCACTGCCGACACGTCCTGGTCAAGCACTCACCATCTCCTGCCTACACTGTCGCCCTGTCTGTCTGTGTTGGAACTACTCCAAGGAACTGAGGTATTTCATTCATGGGAATATTTTGCTGAAATAAAATCTGCCTGCCTACATGTACTTCCCATTCATGGGTCTTAATACTGTATTTTGTGTTACCACCAATTACTGTTGTCAAATATTTACACTTGTCATCACGTTTTTGCCACCACCATGTTGACCCTTCTTGGTTCAACGGGATTCCTTTTAAAACGGAGCACCCACAATAGGAGGTAGATTTACCAATACTGAATGGGAGAAGCCTGGGATTTTCTTTGTTCTGGGTACATAGGCATGGATAAAACCTAGAGGTATTACTACATGCTCAATTCATACTTTGTTTAATTAGCCAAATACCGAACCTTTTCATGTGGTCAGTCATTAGGCTCGGCCCTTAGGATATTTCCTTAGGCAGCTGATATTTATGAATTAGGAGCAAGAGCTTACTTTAATTCATATTGATTTTCATCTCCCCTAGACATTGGTTTCCATCCACTAATCCAGTCTTGGTAAGATCAATTGTCTAGATAAGCACACACTCAGCAGCCCTGCATTTCTTTATTCTGTATTTAAATGCATTTTTTCCCACACACCTTGCTAAAATTGAAACACACAAAAATGTCTGTGGTTTTCTCCTTCTCCCCCATCTAATAACCTCCCATACCCATTTTAAAAGGCAGGGGTGATGTGCTCCCTTTGACATGACTTATTCTCACTGAACTCATGTTGGCTCCTGATGACCCCTTCTTCTTCCAACCTTCACAAACCATGTGTTCAAAAGCCTTACTCTCCAATACTCCTGGAGACCAATGCTCCAGCTTCAATGTCCCCACTGATCAGAGTGTAATCTATGCCCAGCTTTCACCCTAACCCCACCCCTTTGGGAAAATTGTCACGTTTGTCCACTCACTATTGTGGAACTTGCCCTAGTCTCCATATCACCCCCAGAGTACTCATTGTGATTCTGTGAGCAAATCTACAAGTTCTTTTAACACCCTGGTCGATACATAATTTTTCTAGTCAGGGTACTCAGACTCACTTGGGATGATTATATTCCTTTCTAAAATGGTCTTGTGCAGCATGGGCTTCTGCAGCCCCTCCTGGAAAGGGCTTGGACCATTTCAATCTAAAGTTCACCTTCAGCAGCAGAAGAGACAAGAGTACTTCAGAAGCTGATGAGCTCTTCCGTCTGTCATCTTGAAACACTAATTGTCTTCCGTAAATTTTCGACCATCATGGCCTCTTCAGGGCCTAACACAACTCAAAATCAATTTCCCTCTGATCATGTTAAGCATTTAAAATTTTTTTTTAAATTTTTATTTATTGACTTGAGAGAGAGGGAGGAAGGGGTGGGGGAGAAACATGGATTTGTTGTCCAACTTGTTTATGTATTCTTTGGCTGATTCCTGTAATGTGCCCTGACTGGGGATCAAACCTGCAACCTAGGTATATTGGGACACCCTAACCAACTGAGGTACCTGGCTAGGGCACGTTAAGCACTTTTTTTTTTTTTTTTTTAACAAGCCTCAACTCACTCAGTCACTTTGGACTTGAGGTTTACTCACACTTTTTAGTCACAACAGAAAAAATAAGATTGGGGTGTTACACAAAATTATTGGCATGGAATGATAATGTGCTAGCTAGCTCTCTGAGTTAAATTGGCTTTAGCAGGCCTGTCCTGGCTGGGCCCAAAAGCCTAATCACCATTTACGACTGTTTCTCTGGGAAAATCCATTCTGCATTCCAAAGAAGTGACTCAGAAAGAAATTTCTGACCCAGATCTGTGCATGTTGGACTGTTTACTTTTGCTCCTCCCTCCGACCCTAACAAATGTAGCTCCTCAATCAGCCACAGAAAGCAAATAAGTAGGTTCCCTTTCCTCCATTCAGGCAAAGTACACATTCCAGTATCTTTTGCTCTTGAATGCACAAAAAGCTCTCAATGTTGGAATGCCAGGTGAATATCTCTCACAGCAAATGGGCCAATTTAGCTGTCCTTACTAGCTAGTTTATCTTTGATCTCATTTTTCCTTTGGAGAGTCGTTTTTGTGAAAATAATGTTCTTTTGTCTGGCTTCCTTCTGCAGTTTCTTTTCTTTTCTTTTTTAGTTTGGTGAAATTGTGCCAAAAGCTATGAGGCAAACCACCCTATTTCTCTGTTCAGAGCAGGCCCGAGAGTGTAAGTCCACGTAAGGAAGTGCCCGAATGGAAGAGTCGGGCCTTACGCCCAGCCCTCCAGATCCTGAAGAGCCTGGGAGCTTGAGGCAGGCCTGGGACTTACGTTGGGTTTCTGGGATTGGCCAGAAGACCTTGGACGAACCATAAAATAAACCATAATTTCTCTCGATAGCCTCAGCACTGGTTTACTTGCCTTAGGGCTACTTAGACTGCTAGATTTCTAGGGGGAAAAACGATTAAATTCAATCCACTTTGAAAGAAAACCAACTGAGCACCTTGAAACAAAACCTGCAAACAAAAACCTGCAGCTCAGTGGGCAGCTGGTTTGGATGTTCCTCTCACACCTTTCACACAGCACAGCGAGGAGTTAGGACTGACATTCTCTGTGTTCCATGCATCACATTCAGACTGTTACTCCCAATGTTCTTGGGGGGAAAAACTTTTAGGTCTCTGTGCAAGTAGAATACACTCCGAGTTTTCCAGAGTCTACCATCTCCTGCTACTCCCGGCTCACTGAAACGGGCCCCTGGCTGCCATTTCCTTTCCATTCTGAGTCGTCCATCGTACCACAAGGACATCGTGTCCAGTCATGACAGACGTACAGTGGCATCTAGGCAACTGACTTCTCACCACCAATGATCTCCTCCCTTTTGTGCACTAACTGCCAGAGTCTCACCCTGGACTTTGTCATCACTTAAAAAATTCTCTTTCCAAAAGCACTTATTCAAGAAGCCCTCTTTCTGACCACAACTTGCATCTCCCCTTCTAATTTCACAGTGACTTCAGAGGCCCCATGATTTTTATTTACTGACTGACTGATTGGTTTAGATTGAGAGAGAGAGAGAAAGAGAGAAACATTGATCTGTTGTTCTACTTAGTTATGCATTCATTGGTTGATTCTTGTGCCCTGGCCGGGTACAGAACGCTCAACCTTGACATATTGGGAGAGACACTACAATCAACTTCGCTACCCAGCCAGAGCTCATGATATTTTTTAATCAATCTGCAAATCTTCTTTTTCTCCCCCCTTCCTTAAGTTACACTTCCCAGCTCATCAATTCAGTACCTCCTCCTATCATGTACATTTAGCAAAGCTCAGGCTGAAGCCTGCTATCTGCTTCCTTGCTGTCTGAGTGGTGCTGGAGAAACCACAGCAAGGCTTTTGGGTATCACCGTAAGTTCAGGCTCACTGGCCCCCATGGGCCCTCACCACAGCCCAGACAACCTAGACCGGTTCTAGGTTTTTCCAGGTCAGCTTACTCCCTTGCTCTCCACAATGACTTCAAAGTGCCAACTCCTCCCTCTCAGCAGCTGAAAACTGAAGCAGTCAGAAGGGAATTCCCTCAACTTCTCTCCATCAAACCCACAAACAAACAGCATGGGCCCTCTTATCCCTGTTCCTTCAGAGACACTGCCCCTCCTACATAGTGCGGACTGCTCCACAGCGCTGTGCTCACCACCCACAGCCTTTCAGAGCCACTCTTTAGATCTGGCTGTTCCTCTCACATGGATCCTTCTTATCTGTCTTTGAACTTGTGCAAGTCTCTCCATCTGACAGAAGGAGATCATCCTTGGCTCTCGTATTCTCCTCTCATTCTCCAGCTCTTCACAGTCGAACTCCTTGAAAGATCGGTCAACATTTTTTCTTTTCTTTCCTCCTGCTCATTCCCTAATCCTCAGAGGTCCCATGACTCCCCAACACTCCCTAGAAACAGCTCTATGTAAGCACACCAGTGACCTCAATACCTTCTCCATATTCATCTAACTCAGTGGCTCTCAAATAGGAATGGTTTTGCCCCTCTAGGAGACATTTGGCAATGTCTGGAGATATTTGGTTGTCACAGCTCGGGAGAGAGGGTCCTTTGCATCTTGTGTGGGGTCCAGGAATGCAGCTAACCATCCTACAACATACAGGACAGCTCCCCACAGCAAAGAGTAGTCCAGCCCAACATGCCAGTGGTGCTGATGCTGGGCAATCCTGATATGACTGAGCCCCTCCCTACACAGCATCCAGAACTATTCCTTCATCTGCTTCTCAGCTGCTGTCCTGCCATCCTCCAGATTTTCTTCCTGTCTTTCTGGTCATTTCCTTTTGCTGCCATATACTGACTCCTGAGTCATTGCCCCTCATTCCTTGGAGGTTTAAACTTTGGCTCACTGTTACTTTTTTTAATGCATTATTCCTGATATAATTCTTGGGGATTTTCATATCCACATGTGACCATCCCAACACCCTGTCCCTGCAACTCCACCCTGCCTCGGGAGTTCATTCCCATATTCAAATTCCAGACCAGACCCTGTCTGTACTAGCTACTGTAACTCCTCCCTCAATTACAAATGTCTGACTCTCCAACTACTGCCTATTATTACTCCAGTTCACTTTCTCCAACACCCCAATTCCAAAAATGATCACACCCCCTAGGGTCTAAATCTGCTGATCCTACTGCCTCACTCTCCTCTTATCCTTGGTCCGATACTGTCTTGCAAATACCTGGTAACTCTCTTAGCCTTGTCTTGCTTCACTGAACTGACTTGATGAAACCCCAAGTAAGTTAAATCAGACTCTTTGCCTATTTCACACCTGCTCCCCAAAGCTGGACTTGAATGGGAAAAGCATACAACCATCACACCCACTACACGCCTCCACGCGGGCTCTTAGGGCCCCCAGGCAGTTGTCTCACTTCACTCTCAGGCGATCTTATCCTTCTCCTCTCTTCAGATCTCTTATCTCTTTTCCTTTCTCAGTCTTAACTATCCTTGTTTCCCATGTCATTGGTAAATAAAAATCAATCAATAAAAAACTTCAATAAGCTTCTACTAGCAAGTCTAATGAAGCCATTCCTTCC